ATCCAAAAATAGCAGTCAATTAGAAAGAACGGCAATACTCTCCAACAGAAGGAAAACAGAGAAATTCATTGAGACTTCTGAGACTAAAACGAAGACAAAACAACCCAGGTTTCTGGCTCCATCTTATGGCCATTTGAGAAACCACACCCAATTACAATTTTAGGATTCTCTTAAAGATAGTTTTAAAATGTCTATCCTGGTTTATATATTTCCAGTTGTTAGGTGACTTACATTCCTAACAGGGACCTTGTAGGTCATCTAGTCCAATCCCCCGCCCAAGCGGGAGACCCTACACCATTTCTGACAAATGGCAGTCCAATCTCTTCTTGAAAGCCTCCCGTGATGGCGCTCCCACAACTTCCAAGGGCAAGCTGTTCCATTGATTGATTGTTCTGTCAGAAAGTTTCTCCTTATTTCCAGGTTAAATCTCTCCTTGTTCAGTTTCCATCCATTATTCCTTGTCTGGCCTACAGGCGCTTTAGAAAATAGCTTGACCCCTTCCTCTCTGTGGCATCCTCTCAGATATTGGAAGACTGCTATCATGTCTCCCCTGGTCCTTCTCTTTATACCAGACTAGCCAAGCCCAGTTCCTGCAACTGTTCTTCATGTTTTAGCCTCCAGTCCCCTGATCATCCTGTTGCTCTTCTCTGCACACTTTCTAGAGTCCCAGCATCTTTTTTATAATGTGGTGACCAAAACTGGATGCAGTACTTTAGGTGTGATCTTACTAAGGCTTTATAGAGTGGTATTAGTACTTCCCTTGATCTTGATTGTATCCCTCTGTTAATGCAACTTAGGATTGTGTTAGCTTTTTTGGCTGCTGCTGCACACTGCTGGCTCATATTTAGCTGGTTGTCCACTAAGACTCCAAGATCCCTCTCACAGTTCCTGCTATTGAGCCTGGTTTCACCCAGTCTATATGTGTACTTTTGGTTCTTCTTGCCTAAGTGTAGGACTTTACTTTTCTCTACATTGAATTTCACCAGCCTCCTCTTGTTTAGATAACATGTTGCAAATGAACAGCTTTGTTAATTTTACATTGAGAACTATATAGATATGCAGGTAGTTCTCGCTTAGCAACCGCCGTTTGGACTGGAAACTCAGTTGTTAAGTATCACGGTCACTAAGCAGGAAATTACAACTGTTAAAAGAGTTACAAAATTACTTTCCCTTCAACTGTTAAGCGGAGACACATGGCTGCAAAGCAGAATGTCCCATGACCGCAACATATAATTTTACTGCCAGCTCCTCCATTGACTCTGCTTGTCATAGTTGTAAAGAGGATAAGTTGTGATCATATGACTGTGGCTGTAAATTCAAGAACTGATCAGAAAAGCATTCCTCCCCCCCCCCCCAGTCCTAACTTGAAATGGTCACTGCACTTGGATTTTGGACTTTAGTAAGACCTGGCTGTGCCACCTTGCCTGGGAGTCTGGCATTGGTGGGAAGCTCTTACAGGGGCTGATTCTAATTTTATTTATTTAATTTTTAAGCAACTATTTTTACTTGTTGACAGCTCCCCAGAGTTGCTTAAGATGAGATGGGCGGGGGGCACTATTACGGTAACGAACTGTACTAATGATAATAATGATAATAATGGAGATCACGTGACTGAGGGTTGCGTCAAAGGTGGTAAATAATTTGAAAAAAAAAATTTCCAGACCCCGTCATGAAGAAATTTGTAAGTGAGTTATATCTGTATATAGAGTAGAATAACAAGAATTGGAAGGGACCTTGCTGGTCACCTAGTCCAACCCACAGCTCAAGCATCCTCAGCTGGAAAATGCTGCCCAACACTCCCACCCTCCAAGTTGAAATATGCCCAACAGATGTATGAAATAAAACTCTAATGAAGTGTTATCTTTGATAGCGATAGAATAATCCATGTAATTAATTCGGAAGAGTCGGGGGGAGGCTCTGCCACACGCTACAAAGCTCCTCTGCCACAAACCAACAAGGCCTACTACTATCACACTCCGGCATCTTCTCACTCACTACTCCCAAAACTAGGTGGGCGCAAACGGGCCAGCGGCAAAGCAGCCGCCGCCGAGAAGCTTTCGCAGCCTGATTCAAAAGCCTCAACCGGATTCCCCAATAATCAGGGATCCAGTGGGATAAAAGTCCGAGATCCCAGATCCGGGCCAAATGGAGACATGCCCCCCCCCCCCCCAAAAAAAAACCAAACCACAAACAAAAACCAAGTGCAAAAAGTGTTTCCCGACCTGCCCCTGGGGAGCAAAGCGCTCAGCTTCTGGGCTGCCCTGCCCAGAAGTGGGAGGCGGGTAAAAGGAAAGAGAGGATCCCGCGGATCCCAGACCAGAAGGAGAACCGACTTTCTTTCCCCGGGAAGTCTCGCGTTTTCTTACCACGCCTCCCTCTGCCCGCGGGAAGAGAGTCGCCGCTCTTCCTCGCTCCGGCCGGCTTCCCCTTTTTGGTGGGACTGCAGCCTGGAGGGGTCCGCCGCCCATCCCACCCTCCCTCGGTCCGGACTGAAAGAGGAGAGAGGCCAGGACGCCTCTTGGGAAGCGAAGCTCAGGCTGCTTTTGCACAGGCTAAGCTTTTGTTTCTGGAGAGGCGCGAGAGCGTGTTTGGGAGAAAGCCATGGCTTCCTCTTTTCCTGGCCGATATTCAGAGATGCCTGGTTGCCCAAGGTCCATCGGGGCCACGCTGGCTACTTAAGGACCGACTTTTCCAAACACCTGTCAAATGCACTTTTTGGTTTGTTTGTTTGTTTGCTTGCTTGCTGGCTAATAATGCGTGTTGTGCTTTTGATCCAGAGAGCCCTCCCGCCTTACAAAATAACCCAAACGTGGAAAAATAAAAAAAAAACAGCAGGTAAAGCCTCATACCCTAACCCACAGCGCCCAAGCTGATGGCAGTTGCACTTCTGTTGTGAATTTCCGCAAGGCAGTTTGGGTGGATTTCCCAAGAGTAGATATGCCTGGGGCTTGAGAAGAAAATTCAACCGGGGGGGGGGGGGGACGGGACAGAAACAGAAGCTAAGAAATGTATTTAACCTTGCAGAAGCCTGCACTATGGGATTTTATGATTGAGAACTCCAGGGGCTTTTTGATTAAAATTGAATTGCTGAAAGCCATGCGCCTATTTCTTCCCCCAATCTCACCCCGCTACGATCATGAATTTTATTCAGAAAGGGTGTCATTCATACATTCATTTTTCTTCGTTCAAGGCCACTGCCCATCTCAAAATATGACAGCTTGAGAACAAATAAAAAGACAAAAACAGCACAGTGAAATAATAAATGACGTAGTCTGCAACCAAGATAAAAAAAAATCTAGCCAACACTGTTAAAGTTAACTATGATTCTGGCTCAGCCACACAACCAGGGCCCCAGGCTCAATAACAAAAAAGGTTTTAAGAAAAGCCAAGCAGGGTTGGGGCCAGTCTGATCATCCTGAGGGATGGTGTTCCAGAAGGTGGGCCTCAGGACAGAAGCGGCTGTCTTCCTGCGTCCTGCCAGAAGGCTCTCCCTAATAGATGGCAACCTGGAGCAGCCTCTTCTGCCAGATGTAACAAAAGATGCTCCTGTTTGAAACTTGGCCTCAAAACATCTGAGGTGGCTCGCAGGGCTCCAACTCTTTATTATTAACCTGCATGAGGTCGGTCAAAAACATAAAAATGTGCCTTGACCCAAAGGATTTTTAAAAATCTGAAAGAAGCAGAGAAACAGTCAGTGATGCAAATTAACGTACAAACTGCTGCTCAAAGGCAGCTCAAGATACTTGTAGCTACGAGACTTAACAACTCTGGAAATCAGCGTTTCATTATCTTTAGGTGTTGGTATTGCATCCTTCAGGTGAAGGAATTGAGGAATCTGGGCACCAGCTGGCTATGCCTCCAGCTTTTTACCTCAAAACCCCTAAGGCTATTTAACTTGGTGTGCAAGATCCCCTGTTAGAACTGGATGATTATGGGCACTTTGAAACATGGAACAAACCGGGAGAGGGGGGGAGATGGGGGAAAAGGAACTATATCACTGGGGGGGGGGGGGATTTTGTGCATTGTTGTATTTGGGGAATCATTTTCCTACAGGGTTTATGTGAAAATCCGCACCATTTTGGAGAAAAACTGCGCACAACAGGGTAGCGTAGACTAAAATGGACTTCAGCAATTGTCCTGAGACAAAGGACTAGAAGGGAACTTTGCACAGGGATCTGTTATTTGACTATTTGTAGGGGATGGGGACCACCGTGAGTCCCTGGGAGGTAAACAAATTTTAATAAATAACAAAATAAAATAGAACATCGTTTAGGAATACGATTTCTACTCTCTTAAGATTGATATAATACTCTGTTACCCCTTACAGGCATCTCCTTTCACAAGATTGGAAATCTCAAGCCTTCCTTTCATGCCTCTCTTTGATTTTCTTTTCCACACTTTGGATGTTTCCACCACTACTCATTCAGTGTGTTTAGAAGACTCTTCCGTGCCTACATCATCCCCTCAATCTCATTTATCTAGATCGGTGTTTCTCAACTTTGGCAATTTTAAGCCGTGTGCACTTCAATTCCAGAACTCCTCAATCAGCCTTGCCAAAGTTGAAAAAAACATTGGTCCCTGGAGTCCTGGATGCTTTCTGAGCTTTGGGATTGGCTTGCGGATATTTCATTGCCAACTAGATAATATAATCCATGTGAAACAGGAAGGGGTTTTTCTCCCAGTTTACATACAGTAGCTTGCCTGACAAACGTTCATGGGGGCACGGTTTTCTCCTTGGTAGAATACCCAGTTGGGTAATAAAACATCTGCAAACCACCAATCTCAAAGGGCGCCAAGAGCTACAACAGTTCAAGCCTGAGCTGCAGGTATTCTCGTCTACTGAAACACTGATCAGGATTACTGAACATAATTTTCATTTTAACCCTGTGCCTATTGCCCAGTGTCATTGTTTATGGGAAGGGCGGCCATATAAATCGTTCAAATAAACAACGGTAAAGCATCAAGTGACTCCCAAAGACTCAAGAGTGGAAATGTTATCATAGGATTGATTGATTTTATTTGATTTGATTTAAGGTAGTAATCACAGGAGTGGTAAAGTAGAGCAGGGCTTGGTGAAATCTGAAGGTTGAAGAATGGGTATTAGCCTATGAGGGCACTTCGAGAAAAACAAACAAACCTGTTTTTGCCACCCGCTAAAAAAATCCCACTGTACTGTGTTAAGCTGCAGCTCCTTTCCTAAAATCTCCAGAAGCCAAAATGTATTCAGAAAGGAGCCACACCTCACATAGCAACAGCCCTTGCAGATAATCTAATCGGTTTCCTAATCTCGGCTCAGAAATCTTTTCTGAAATTTCAGAAAAAAGGGCCATTTCTAACCTGCCTGCAATCCCAGAGAACAAAGAACTTCAGTGTGAAACGAGGACTTCTTTATAACATTTTAATGTATCAATATGTTTAAAAGCCACCAATGCCCCCCTTGTGCTTGACTCTTAGCTGTCTGCTCTTTTACTCCAATGCTAATGTCACTATCGCTATCTCTGAGACTGCATGTTAAGACCTGAACACCAACTCTGCCCCCTCTCTAGCATGTTCCTCCTGGGTGGATATTCATGTGTTTATGAAATGTGGAAGAACTCTGATATGAATCCTGTTGGTGGACCACCAAGTTGGGATTTTCTACTAATGCTTTTCGCACAGTAGGAGCATTTATGCAGCTTCTTGGCCATGTATACTACATACTAAGCTTCCTGAGATGTGAGCTAGAAACAAAGCTCTTCCCACACTCGGGCACCTGTACAGTCTGTCTACTGTGTTGACCCTCAACGGGGATCATTATCAGTGCCTGTAGTCTAAGCACGGATATGGCGTCTGGCCAGTGTGGGTGTCCTTTTGTGTATTTTCAACTGGGAGTTGGTCCGAAAGCTTTTGCCACATTCGGAGCACTTGTAAGGCTTTCGCCCCTGTGGGTCCTCTTGCATTTCACCGGCGATGCTCTCTCATTGAAGCTTTCCAAACACTGCTGGAGTTTCCTCACCTGTGCGCATCCTTTTATGGAGCTTTAGGTGGCAACTGATCCAGAAGCTTCTCCCACACTTCCGACAGCTTCCCTCCTGTAATGGATCCTCTTGTCTTTGAGGAGGGCATCTGACCAGTGAAGCTTTTGCTGTAGTCTGGACATATATATGGCTTCTTTGCATGGATCCTGTTGTTCTTCATGAGGTTTGTTTTCCAACCAAAATTTCCCATATTGTGAGCAAATGTATCTTTTTTTTCTTGCTGAGGAAACAGTCCCCTGGAGGCTTGCTGTTCCTTTTCTAACAGTGTAAATATTTGTGCAGTTTGCCCTTGCACGCCTGGAACACTGTTGGTTGCACACCTCTGGCTCCTCTAAATTCCGAATCGAAAATTGGTGGTTGTAACTTTTGATCATCATCTTCAGGCTTCGCTGGCTTTCTTTCCTAAATGCCTTTGTGCTCCTGGTGGATTTATTCACTTTTCTTTTAACCCCAGAACCCCAGAAATACAAGCTATTGATTCCCTCCAAACTCTTTGCAAATGTCTATTTCTTCAGATCTTCCCACCCGGAAAGTCTTCTCCTTAATATCGGTCCATGTTCTGAGAGAAAGAGAAAAACATATTTATGTAGCTTTTCTCCCAACAAGGTATTTCAAACAATTTCTGTTGTGCGTTCTAGTGTTCCTGGGTCTCCCCACATGCTTCCTCCTTCCTGACCTTGTCTCTAAAACAGTGATCCCCAACCTTTTTTATGCCGCGGCCCGGTACCGGCATCAGCTGGGCGCCGCCATCTTGTTTTGATGAAAAAGTGCTTCCGGTGAGCTTTCTACCCGGAAAAGCTCACCGGAAGCACTTTTTCATCAAAACAAGATGGCGGCGCCCAGCAAACCAGCGGCCCGGTAGGATTTGTTCCACGGACCGGTACCGGTGGTTGGGGACCCCTGCTCTAAAAGACAATCTAATCCAATGGTCGCCAACCAGAGGGCCGGGGATCACTGGTTTGTCCACAAGAAAATTTTGGTGGTCCGCAGAGAAATGTCACCCCCAAAGCAATTAATCCAGGCTGTGTGGGAACATAAGGCTCCGCCGCCCACAATGCCTGCGGGAACACAAGGCTTGCGTTGCTTGCATTGTGAACAACACAAGGTAGTGAGGGGAGGGGGGAAAGGGCGGAGGGGGGGAACTTGCCCCACTCGACTCACGCGCCTGGCCTGGCCACCTGGCTGCTTCTTTCCACTTCTTTCTTCTGCTTTTGGCTGCACACAAGGAAAGCAGCAAAAGTCTTTCTTTCTCTCCCCCAAACTCCTCCAGAAATGAGTCTTTGGGACCCTGCAAGGCATCCTGCTCCAAGAGGCTGCGCTGGCAAAGACTCATTTCTGGTGGAATTTGACGGAGAGAAAGAAAGACTTCTGCTGCTTTCCTTGCATGAAGCCAAAAGTCTCTCTCTCTCTCTCTCTCCCCCTGAGAACGGAGCTGGAGACGGTATCCTGCGATCCCACATAAAGAATGATCGATTAGTAGGAACACGGGGTGGGGAATTTTCCTGCAGACTTTTTGGGGGGATTTTCCCAGGGTCTCTGGTCCGCGGGATTTAAAATTATGAGTTTGGTGGTCCCTGAGGTCCAAAAGGTTGGCGACCCCTGATCTAATCTTCCCCTCCTGCTTTATCTAAGAAACCTTAATTTCAATCATGCTCATTTGATGATGTTCAACACTAGATGAAGACTCCAGCTTGGGAGGACCCCAGTATCAAGAATATTCTCTTCTGGGGCAACAGAGAATAGTTAACATGTCACTAAGCCACCAATTTAATATTTATTTTAATTAAACAGAATGAATAGGCTCACTCACTAACATTTTGTATTGTAGCTTGCAACACTCTAGTTTGGGAGGACTTCATCATTAATAAAATCCTCTTCTAGGACTAAGCCACTGATTCACTGAAATATATTTCTCCTTGAATACCAGTGGGCTTACTCACTAACAATGTACAGCCATGATGGCTGAGTACATGCAACAGTTTAAGCCCATGATGGCGAACCTATGGCACGCGTGCCACGGGTAGCATGCAGAGCCATTTGTGCGGGCACGTGAGCCCCAGGCAAACTTACCTCACTGCGCATGCGCGCGCCTCCCAGCGAATTTTCGGGCCTTTTTCGGCCTGCCCAGAGGATTGAGGGAAGCCTCTGCAGGCTTAAAAATAGGCCCGTTTCATCACTTCCTGTATTTCCGGAAATACCGGAAGTGACAAAATGGCCCATTTTTCGGCCAGCAAAGGCTTCCGTCAAGCCTCTGGAGGGCCAAAAAAAAAAAAAAAAAGCCTCAAATGGGCCGAAAATCAATTGGGAAGTGCAGTGCAGATAAGGGGGTGGGAGGGAATCATGTGCTTATGCACAGGGGGCGTGGGGTGTGTGTGTCCATGTGCATTCCCTTCTGGATGCTGGCATGCAAGTGCGCATGCGTGAGTGCGTGCAGTTTTTGGCACAGGAGCCCCAAAAAGGTTAGCTACCACTGGCATAAGCCAATCAAAGTAGGTTATAACTAAGCTCAGCCTTCTCTACCCTGTTTCTCCAACAATACAGCCTCCCCCAATAGGAAGTCCCAGCATGTTTTATAGGCATGAAATTAAATTAAGCCCCTCCCCCCCCAAATTAAGGCCTATATTAAAACATGCGAAATGGGGGGGAATGGTGGGGGGGGCTTGCTGTTAGGAAGTACTTTTGTTGCACACCCGGATATGGTGCTGCCTGCATTGACCCCAATACGAAGTGTCCCACCAACGCCGAGGTCAACATCCAAGCCGTCGCCGCCCGCCCGAAGATGCAAGGGGGGGAAATTAAGTCACCCCCGAAAAGACGGCCTAGCCATTTTTTCGGGGCTCAAAAAAAAAAAAGACCCGGCCTTATTATATGAGAAACACGGTAGATGGCCATCCTTCATTTTTGATCAACCTGTGCCAAAGGACAGATAAAGCAATGGGCCAGAAGGGTGGGAGGGCCCCCCTTCCTTAAGATCAGACAGAAACTAGATAGGTGTGTGTGTGTGTGTGTCTGAATTTGGATTCCCACCCTATGCAACTATTTCCTGGCTTCCTCCACACGTAAGAATTTATCATCTCTACCAAGAGGTTATAGATCTTGTCACAGAGAAAATCTTATGTGGCTGCTATTATTCAACATTGACTTGATGGCACATAATCAACCCATCAAGTTATGGGTCCACCTGACCGAAATTGGGGACTTAGGGAACTTACACATTCAACTGGCAGCAAAGTCTATAGCAGTTTTGCTTTTTTTTTTCTAGGAGCCAGGTCTTTCCCATCCTCTGCACCTCTGACCTTTTCAACCAAAGATTCCAGGAACCAAAAATTCCATGATGGAAACTGCAACCTTCTTCCTTTCTCAAGAAAATGGCATTTGGCTTGGTGAACCATCAGAGGTGAAAGACTGCATGACCAACTTGTTGAAGGACTTTGAAGCCCTTTCTCTGGGCTTCCAAAAGAGCACACCTTGGCTCAAAGCGTCCCACGAATGTTTCCAATGATCGACTAATCTGCATCCTTACCTCATTAATTGGCTTCCCCATCACTCTCTTGCTTTATATCCATGGGAATCTTCACCTTTACAATCTCAAAGGCCTCTTCTTCCTGTTTCGGAGATTTTAGCATCGTATTCTTTGGGATGACTGGGGAGGGAAAATAAAAAAGAAACTTGATTCAACAACAACAAAAATAGTACTGCAGGAGTTCTGCATGAGGCTTATTCTTTATTCTCTCCGAGATGAGTAACCCTCAAAACCAGTCGGGAAGAGGAGATCCCAGCTTGGAGATTTAATGCACAACAGTTACTTTTCCAGAGGCCATTTTGAAGTATGTATTCGCCAATAAAACCACACGCTAAGTCAGAATTGGAAAACGAGTCCTTCTTGACTTATGAATTGTCATTTTATGTAAAGCGCTTGTGTCCACAGTAAAATGTTGTGGTTCCCTCTGGGCACTGGGTTGACTGCATTTGGGCTGCTTGGCAATGGGTTCATCATTGTGACAGGTTGCAGCATCTTGCAGTCACATGACTATAATTTGAAACTTTTCCCAGTTTTGCTGGGTTTTGACCAAAAAATCCCCATTCAGAAGAATGGGTTCACTTAACAAATAACCTGAGTGGGGATCTTTTGTCAAAACTCAGCAAAACAACCGTGTGCTGAATGACCGTGTTGTTTGTTTAATGGCCGCTAAAAAAAAAAAAGGTAAAAGAAAACATTTTGACAACCCCCTCAACGTATGACCATAAATTGGATGGTTCCAATTGGGGAGTACTTATAGATCCAATTTGCATGCCTTTAATAAAAATACTTTTTATTTCTTCTGCACGTAATATGACAAAATAAAGGAAGTAGCCTCAGTTAGCTCCGTCAAGTTGGTTAGCAGCACTAAATTCTTTTGGGCCACCATTTTGCAAGGAGATGTAGATGAAATAAATGGCACAGAAGTACAGAAATTTTTTTGACTGCAACTCTGCAGCCGAACGACCAATTCCAACAGAGATGCTGGTAACAAAAGAGGACATGTGCAATTGAAAAAAGGTTAAATGAAAAAACTAAGTGCATGAAAAGTTGATTAATTATGTTAAGTCCCAAATTTTAGATTGTGTTGAGAGCCCGTTTGGTTTACACATTACCATGGCGCCAAATGTCACGTGAATGCGCTGCTCAACAACAGCAATTCTGGCAGTCCAACTTGCCAACATTAACCAAGGACCCCACGTGATTACAACGTCTAACTTCCTGCCAGCTTCCCCATCGACTTTGTTTGTGGGAAGCTGGTAGAAAGTGTAATCACATAGCTGCGGGAACACTACAATCACCAGAACTCCAAGGAGAAGTCTTAAGCCCCTTCTTTCAGTACCACCCCAAGTTAGAATAGTCACTACCCTGTTTCTCCAACACTACGGCCTCCCCCAAGAGGAAGTCCCAGCATGTTTTATAGGCATGAAATGAAATTAAGCCCCTCCCCCCAAATTAAGGCCTATATTAAAACATGTGAAATGGGGGGGAATGGTGGGGGGAGCTTGCCGTTAGGAAGTACTTTTGTTGCACACTCGGATATGGTGCTGCCTGCGTTGACCCCGATACTAAGTGCCTCACCAACGCCAAGGTCAACATCCAAGCCGTCGCCACCCACCCGCCCAAAGATGCAAGGGTGGGGGATTAAGTCACCCCCGAAAAGATGACCTAGCCATTTTTTCGGGGCTCAAAAAAAAATAAGACCTGGCCTTATTATATGAGAAACACGGTAGATAGCCCTAATCCAAGGACCACCTGTAGTATTTAAGGTCCCGGTTAAAAAAACCAAGAGAATCTAAATTCTAGTTCTGCCCTAGGCATTAAACAAGAAATCTTGCCAAGAAAATGCAGACCAAACCAAGAATGAAGAGTCCTCGATGGTCTCTGAGCTTGGTTATTTTCCTGCAGACATTTCATTGCCCAAACTAGGGAACATCATCAGTACACTAATAACAACCATGCAACAAGCAAGCTCAGAGAACACCAAGGACCCCTCATTTCAACCCTGAGCTACAAGTATTTTCCTTTATTGGTGCCAGTCCAAGTCAACAAAGACTTGAAGGCACCAAAAAAGTTATTTGTTTATTTGTATTGTTACAATAATAATAATAATAGTAGTAGTAGTAAGTGGGTGCAGCAAAATTTCACAAACTGACTACCTAGAACGCCATAACCGAGTTGCTAAGATCATTCACTGGAAACTGCCAAAAGTTTGGATTTGAGTATAGTAACAACTACTGGAAACACCAGGTTGAGAAGGTTCTGGAGAATGAAAAAGTCAAGATCTTGAGGGACTTCAGAATTCAGACTGACAGGCAGGCACTTGGCCTACAACACACCTGACATAACAACAGTTGAAAAGAAAAAGGGTTGGTTCGTTGACATTGCAATACCTGGTGATGCACAAACTGAAGACAAGCAGCAAGAAAATATCACAAAGTATTGGGACTTACAAATTGAAGTTAAGCGACTTTGGAAAAAGACATTGTGTATTATCCCAATTGTAACTGGAGCCCTTGGAGCAATACCTAAAGGGCTACCTCACTATTTGGAAATTCTGAATTTATCAGACTTGAATACCCTGATTCTACAAAAAAAAACCACCCTACTTGGAACAGCTTATATCCTCCGACGCTACCTTAACAGTTCCTAGGTCCTTGGTTAGGACTCGAGCTATTGAGCTACCAACCAGCCCCAAAGGCTGTGAATGTCACTCAAGATGAAATAATAACAACAAAAATAAATAAAATAGTACAAAATCAGATTTTAAAATTACAATACCTGTAAACATCAAATCGGATATATATCCTTTGAAAGATTCATGGTTTTCCGAGTTTTCAGGGACATCGGATCCCCTGGCATAGCTAGTTGATGGCTGAGGGTCATCCGGGTGTTCTATTACTGTGGATCGGAAGGGTAAGAGGGAAGGGACTGGAACTGGGGAAGTAGTAACTTTCTTCAGGAACCCACCATGTCTGCTTTCCACGCTTTCTTTCCTTTTTTCTTCATATATTTCCCGATAACACTTTAGTATTTCACGCATTTCCCAGTGTACCCGCCTAAAACGTTCCACATCTGGATCCATACTTTCTAATTCTGATAAAATTTTGTTAACACCTGAGAAAACACTAGCCAATCTTCTCAGACTGAACGTTTTGGGCTGGACTTCTACGACTTTTTTCACTTCTTCTTTCCGTTCTTCTTTTTTTTCTTCCTTTTCGACTTCTTCCTCCACCACCTTCTGTTCTTCCAGTTCTTCTTTCAGTTCAATTAAATCTTCGTTGGAAAGCTCTCCCTCGGTGTACGCTATCAAGCTTTTCACGTCTTCGGCATCCACCTCTAAGTCGAGGGATTTCGTGAGCGTCAAAATGTTCTTATTGATTTCGTCTAAATGTCGGCGTGGGTCAAATTCCTCCAAATTATCTGCCAGAGCAGCAAAACATTTCAAGCACTTTTTCCAAATGCCTTGCATGCATTTCACGCTAACCCCCTGCCAGGCTGCTACAATGTTTTCAATACAATCCAGGATATTGTAGCTTTTCCAAAACTCGCTCAGTGTTATACTCTCGTCTTCCATTGTGGCTAAGGCTTTGACGAACACTTCATGCAAATAGTAGGCCTTGAAGGCTGAGATAGCTCCCTGGCTCATAGGCTGTAAGAGCACAGAGGTGTTTGGGGGCAGATAAACTATCTTTATATGAGGATGGAGACTTTCAAGATCTGGGGGATACCCAGGTGCTTTGCTTAAGAGCAGAAGAATTCTAAATGGAATCCCCTTTTGCCAACAATATTCCTTTACTTGGGGTATGAAACAATTCATAAACCAATCGTCAAAGAGGATGGGCGTTATCCAGGCCTTAGGATCGGATCGGTAATGAATGGGCAGGGCGGTTTTGCTAACGTTTTTGAACATACAGGAGTGATCTGATCTGTAGATTACAAATGGCTTCAGCTTGAATCCAGCAACATTTCCGCCCAATAGTACAGTTACTTTATCTTTGAATGATTTGCAACCAGGTATTGCTTGGGCCTCTTTGTGTATGTAGGTTCGCTCTGGCATTCTTTTCCAGTACAACCCAGTTTCGTCCATGCTGAATATCTGGGCGGGAAAATAGTTCCCTTCTGTTATGATCCCATCGAGTTCGTTCAGAAAACGTTTGGCAGCTTCTTCGTCACCAGTGGCTGTTTCCCCTGAGGTATGAGTTTTCTGGAAATGAAACCTTTGCTGGAAGCGAATAAACCAGCCGCGGCTGGCCGTGAACGTTTCGGTGCATTCCTCGCCTGCTCGTTCTTTCAGCGTCGAGAAAATGCTGCGCGCCTTATTCTGTATGAGGAGAAGGTTCATCGGAAGCCTCTTTTGTATCTGATCTTCGATCCAGAGGATGAGGAGTTTTTCCATCTCGTGGATGAGGCCTTTTCGCTGCCTTGTTATACTTACGTTCATTCCCGATGATCCTTTGATGGCTTCTCTGATCCTTTCCTTGTCCTTCAAAATGGCGGAGATCGTGGAATGGGCCAGACCTTCTTCTCGAGCTATATTAGTCACTTTCTTCCCATCAGCATATGCTTTGATGATCTTCATCTTCAAATTGAGACTGATGACTTTCCTTTGCTTCTTTCTTATTCCTTCTGGTGTGTTGGCGTTCTTTCTCTTCGCAGGTAGCTTGGTATATGGGATATAAAACATATAGACAGGTAAATAAGCAAGTAAAAATAAGAGCGGGATATATATGTGTGGTGCTAACTCTAATAGCAGATAAGTGACGGAGAGGAGAGTGAAGATGTGAAGTCGTAAATGCCCATAATGGTCACAAAATTAATTTGGTATTTCAGGTAGTCCTCAACTTACAAACACAACGGAGTCCAACGTTTCTGTTGCTAAGCGAGACATTTGTAGTGTGAATTTTGCCCCAAATTTACAACTGTTCTTGTCACAATTGTTAAGTGAATTACTCCAGCTGGTAAATTCGTAACACGGTGGTTAAATGAATCTGGCTTTCCAATGGACTTTGCTTACCAGAAGGTCATAAAAATGTGATCCCAGGACATTGTGACTGTCATAAATATGAGTCAGGTGTAAAGCATTCGGGTTTTAATCACATGATGGGGATGCTGCAATAGTTGTATGAAAAGTAGTCATAAGTCGCTTTTTTCAGTTTGGTTGTAACTTCAAACGGTCATTAAATGAACCATTGTGCTATCGTATTTCTGAATGGTCATTAACCAAAGTAGTTGCTAAGCAGGAGTGGCTGCACCTCATTCTGGACAATTTCCTGCAAAACAGCAGATCATGCCTTCAGATACAAACTTTTGGCTGGCTTTTTGCAAAATAAGCCTAACCCTGGCTTCACCAGCCAAAATACAGCCAGTTCTCATTTAGCTGCTACCTCAGTAAGCAACTGTTCACAAATACAGGTAGGCGACTTTGACTTTGATTGTTCTATCCATGTATAAAATAAAATAACAAAAATAGGAAATTAAGGGAAGGAAAAAGAAAGTGAGAAAGAAAATAAGGAGGCAGTCCTTGACTTAACAACTGCAATTGAGCCCAACATTTCTGTGGCAAATGAGACATTTTTCAGTGAGTTTTCCCCCATTTTATGGCCTTTCTTGCCAATTAAGTAAATCACTTGAGCAATTGTTAAGATGGCTTCTCCATTGACTTTGCTGACCAGAAGGTCGCAAAAGGTGATCACGTGACCCCTACGGTCATATGAATTTATGACTGTTGGGGGGGGGAATCATGCGATCATCAATGAAGCCACATTCACTTAACAACCATCAGTTCATGATTCATATTTATGACCGTTGCATAAATATGAATTTATGACACTGCAATGGTCATAAACATGAATCCTGATCTGAATTTGGATCGTGGGGATATTGCAATGGTTGTTTTAAGTGCAAAAAACGGTCATCAGTCACATTTTTTCAGTGCCGTTTTAACTTGGCAACCCGTTGTAAGCTGAGGACTACTTGTACAGTACAATAATAAAACAATGGAAAGCTTCATTTTCCCACCAGAAAGCTTCACTTTCCCACCAACACACAGTCAAACCCAAATCCTGAACTCTGCTACTACAACTAACTAGTAACATATTTCACGGGTTGGCCTCTTCCCTCTTTGGAAGAGCTTTATTAAGCTTAAGAACTTTATTTAAAAAGTTCAAAACATTCTTAAAGATCCATTGCATTCTGGGCACCCATTTTTTTAAACCTATTGCCATCTGGCAGACAGTACAGGAAAAATAAAAACAAAGACAAATGGGCCCAAAAACAGCTTTTATCCCAGAGCAGTAACTATACTGAATTCTACTATATAGTGCAATATTAATGCAATATCAGGGGGTTTCAATTCAATTGTACAGAATAGAGGTCTCCAAAATTGGCAACTTTTAAGACTTGT